TGAAGCTGGCTCGACATTATCATCGTCATGTGAATAGGAACGTCGCCCCATGCTGAAATTGGTGCGGCCTTTGGAAACTTGCTTGGCTTTGACCCACTGTTCGGCACGCTCCGCTTGGTGAAGAAGCTCTTGCATATCATTATACTGCATCAAATCAACACGGTCACGTATATCCTCATTCAGCCCCTCAAAGAAATGTGTCATTGTTGCATCATCAGACTCATGCACATTAGTTCTGATCATCAAAACTTGCATCCCTTGGTAATACTCATCCACCGTCATGGCTCCTTGAACAAGACGTCGAAGCTTTGTGTGTTGCTCCTTCTGAAAATAAGCTGGCACAAAGCGAGCACGCATTGTACGCTTCATCTCACGCCACGATTCTGGTCGTGCGTCATTGCGGTTGAGCTGATCCCACCAAATTAATGCATAACCTGAAAATTCAAGAGAAGCAAAACGATTCTTCCGCTCCTCGGAGTAATGGTGATTATCAAAAATCTGCTCCACACGCATCTCCCACTCAAGATACTCCTCGGGACCGGCCTTGCTTGTGAACGGAGGTATAGTATTTTTTTTATTCTACCAATACCTCCGTCCTCGTCCTCATCGCGGCGCCGCCTTGGTCCATCATCACGGGGACGAGCATCCTGTCGTGGTCGGCGAGGCAAGTCGTCGCGAGCATCAGAACCATCCTCGGACTCAGCATCATTGTCGTCGTTGGCAACTTCCGCGTCACGGACATGTCGAGGTGCTCGCTGCTGCAGGGCATGTTGTTCCCTCGCTGGAGCAGCCGCGCCGGCTGCCCGTGCCTCTAGGCGACGGAGGGCTGCTTGCATGGCCTGGAACCCGTCGGTCACTGTCTCGTCGAGCGCCTTCATGCAGTTGTCGAAGTGCTGGTATGTAGACTTGAACATAGCACGGACACCTCGGTCCAGATCGGGACCATATTGCGGCGGCCCATCATCCTCCTGCACCTCATCCGCATCATGCTTGCTTGCAGTTGACATCACGCGGTGATAAACCTGGCGCTCTCTGATACCAGTTGATACGCCTCAAGTGGCGTTGAGATGATTTTTGGAGTGGCCTGATCTTTCACCGCACGCACACACAGTGGCAATGAGTTCGCCAGCAAGAACAAACAGCAGTATGATAGACTATGCTTGTAATCGTGTAGTAGCTAGATGAAGAAAATATAGTGGAAAGAAGTAGCACCGTGGCGTAGTAGTACTACAGCTAGATTAGACGGATGGATTATGCAAATAATGATCAGCGGCGGCGACGGCGGCGACGGAGCGATTTACAGATGGAGGAGAGAACAAAAGTAGTAGATGAGATGTAAAATAGAGATGATTCGACCCTTGCTGATCAAGAACCGAACTGAAGCTTGTGTCCCGACGATCAACGCCAACGAAACACCATGCAAATATCAAACCCTAATAAGGGACGCAGGAGCACAGATAAGGCGCATCCATCAGATGCTTTTTCTGAGTGTTTTCTTCACGTCATAAAAACCTCTCCTTACAAAGCGGTGCACCCCTTGCTTATATAGGTGGTGCCTAATACTTGGGCCAGACCCGACCTGAACTAGGAAACGATGAGGAGTCCTCATTTGTTACAAATTGTACGTAGCAAATAAAAAGAAAACTACCAAATCTGAACAAACTGTGGAAAGCAAATAAAAAGGACACACGTACGTATACTTGCATGTATGATTTCTAGGCTGACACTAAAATTAACTTGATGGTGCAGCCTTCAAACTTTTACTCTGCTGGTCTAGATGGAAGTAAACACAGGGTGTTCTGAACGTGGGCTTCACTTCCTCCCGAGGCACGATCTGAGGAGCAACCGAACAAACAAAAGAATTATTTGTAGCGATGTTGTTGCATTCAATCGGTAGAGCATATGACCATCTCCTTTCAGTAGCATATAAAACAGGCTTCACACCTAAGACCCCCCCTCTGTTCTGTAGCACACATGATCTTCTTATGACGTAGAGCGGGAACCACATACTTTTGCATCTTGTTTTCATAGTGAGTCTCTTGGTTGGAAGATGTTTTACTCGACAGTAATGGAGGAACGACAAGAATACCTGCAGTGGCCGTATCATATATACTTTCGATGTCATCTAAACAGTGCCTATATGCGTGGTATCCCTTGTTTGTCTGCCTTGAAAGCTTACTGAGAGCAGCCCAATCATTGATGGTTACTAACAACAGCGCATGTAGGTCAAATTCCCCCTGTTTGTGCTCATCCCACACACATACACCGTTTCCAATCCACAGTTGTAAAAGTTCTTCAACTAATGGCCTTAGGTACACATCAATGTCGTTGCCGGGTTGCTTAGGGCCTTGGATGAGAACTGGCATCATAATGAACTTCCGCTTCATGCACAGCCAAGGAGGAAGGTTATAGATATATAGAGTTACGGGCCAGGTGTTGTGGTTGCTGCTCTACTCCCCAAAAGGATTAATGCCATCCGCGCTTAAACCAAACCATACGCTCCTTGCGTCACCTACAAACTCCTCCCAGTACTTTCTCTCGATTTTTCTCCGCTGCGACCCGTCGGCGGGTGCTCTCAACTTCCCGTCTTTCTTACGGTCCTCTCTGTGCCATCGCATCAACTTGGGATGTTCTTTGTTTCTGAACAGGCGTTCAACCATGGTATTATAGGAGCACACCACATCACCTTGGCAGGAACCCTCTTCCTGGGGCGCTCGTCATCAACATCACCAGGGTCATCTTGTCTGATCTTATCCCGTAATGCACCGCATACCGGGCATGCGTTCAAATCCTCGTACGCACCGCGGTACAGGATGCAGTAATTAGGGCATGCATGTATCTTCTCCACCTCCAATCCTAGAGCGCATACAACCTTCTTTGCTGCATATGTACTGTCGGGCAATTCGTTATCCTTTGGAAGCTTCTTCTTCAATATTTTCAGTATCTTCTCAAATCCTTTGTCAGGCACACCATTCTCTGCCTTCTGCTGCAGCAATTCCAGTACGGTACCGAATTTTGTGTTGCCATCTTCGCAATTGGGATATAAACCTTTTTTGTGATCCTCTAACATGCGATCGAACTTCAGCTTCTCCTTTTTACTTTCGCACTATCTTCTTGCATCAACAATGACCCGGCGGAGATCATCATCGGGCACATCGTCTGGTTCATCTTGATCTTGAACAGCTTCCCCTGTTGCAGCATCACCGTATTCAGGGCGCACATAGTTGTCATCGTCCTCTTCTTCTTTGTTGTCTTCCATCATAACCCCTATTTCTCCGTGCTTGATCCAAACATTATAGTGTGGCATGAAACCCTTATCAAGCAGGTGGGTGTGAAGGGTTTTCGAGTCAGAGTAAGACTTCGTATTCCCATATATAGGGCATGGGCAACACATAAAATCATTCTGCTTGTTTGCCTCAACCACTTCGCGAAAATTATGCACGCCCTTAATGTACTCGGAGGTGTGTCTGTCATCGTACATCCATTGTCTGTTCATCTGCGTGCATTATATACAATTTAGTGTGTCAAAAACCATTACAGAACATCATGAATGGATAATTAAGTGACCAAATTAATAGAAGTTCATCATCACATTAAAACCAAAGTACATACATAGTTCTCATTGAAACTATGTAAAACATTTCAATGCGAGAACAAATGTGATCATAATTGCAACCAAGGTAACAATTGATCCAACGGCATAATGATACCAAGCCTCGGTATGAATGTCATATTTTCTAATCTTTCTAATCTTCAAGCGCATTGCATGCGTCTTGATCTTGTGATCATCGATGACATCCGCAACATGCAACTCCAATATCATCTTCTCCTCCTCAATTTTTTAATTTTTTCCTTCAAGAAATTGTTTTCTTCTTCAACTAAATTTAACCTCTCGACAATAGGATCGGTTGGAATTTTTGGTTCACATACCTCCTAGATAAATAAAATCTATGTCACGTTGGTAGCATAATTGTCATAAATAATAAATGAACCAAATAGTTATAAAAAATAATATATACCACATCCGAATCATAGACAGGACGAGGGCCGACGGGGGCGGATACCAAAACCATTGCACTATATAATAAAAAGCCATAATAACAATAAGAAAATTATACAAGTATCTATCTAAACATACAGGTAAGATTTTTTTTCCTTTCAGAAAGAAGATAAGAACAAGAGGCTCACCACGGTGGTGCCGGCGATGAGATCGGCACGGGCGATCGACGGTGGTGAAGACGGGAACGAGGCGTGACGGACCGCTAAACCTAGACAAATATTGAGGAAAATGAAGTTTGGAGGTTGAGCTTCGAGAGGAGAAAGCTTAAATAGTGTGGCTCGGGCATTCCATCGAACACCTCATGTGCATAGGAGGTGAGCTAGAGCACCACAAAGCCCTCCCCTCGCCGGCCAGAAAAAACAGAGCAGTGTGGAGTGCTCTGCTCGCCGGTGAGGGGGTATATATAGGCAACTCATTGGTCCCGGTTCGTGGCTGGAACCGGGACTAAAGAACACCATTTGGTCCCAGTTCATGCCACCAACCGGGACCAATGGTTGTGGGCCAGGAGCGAGGCACATTGGTCCCGATTCGTCCCATCAACCGGGACAAAGGGTCCAGACGAATCGGGATCAATGCCCCACGAGGCCCGACCGGCCTCCTGGGCTCACGAACCAGGACCAATGCCCCCATGGAAATCGCGGAACTTCATAGTTGAATCGCTCACAATCAATGCCTCGCTATCAAAATGTATATCGAGCACACTCACACAAACAGACAGAAACATTTCATTGATTTATTGCACCATATCAAAGTGAGACAACCGCAAATAGTTTCAACTCCTGGTCTCTCTATATCATAAGCATATCAAATTCCTGATAAGATAATAATCATAATGAGAACAAAGCATGCCGGACAGGACAAAGTTACAATGGCGCGCGGCGTAACGAGAACAAGGGACATCAAAATCATGATTTGCAACCGGTAAGCTGTACATCGGACGTTACAGCACGAAGTTGTTCAGAACTTTCTTGACTAGATGCTCCCCGTACACCACCTTGTCGTACTTGGCAACGCCACCCGTTTTCTCTCGGCATAGCTCCGCAGGCTCAACCACAGCATCGAAGTTCGACTGTATATGTGCGACATAAGAAAGAATTTGAGTACCATGGACATCATGCATAGAAATGGTTGGTTTTGCTAACCTAACAAAATTTTATTTTTCTTTTGTTGATGCATAGATACCTCGTAGAAGAAGGCAACAGATACACGGTAATGAAGGGAGTTGTTGAAAACTCTATGGAGCGTGGGCTGATATATTCCATTAGACCAAACCTAAAACCATATCAGTAAGATAGTCAGTAATGAGCATTTTTTCCTACACAGAAGTTCGAGTAGGATCAAGCATGTTTCATGTTTTGGAGGAGACTAACTTCTAGCATGTCACCAATGTTGCACACAAAGGTTCCAGGGACTGGCTTCGCCTGTATCCACTCACCAGACAGGTTTCTGACCTGACCATAATATATAGCAAAGAATTGTGAAACTTTTTTTCTCTTGATGATAGAGCATACAGAGGGAACAAACCAAAAAAAAATGCAAGATGTATATGACAGTGATATGTTAATGAAGAGACAAGTACCTCAAGCGCACAAATGTCATCATCTTGGTTAACCAGTGTCAAAAGGCCTACAGTTTAACAAAATGGCGTGAATGATTTCTAAGATTTCTTATATAAACTGCGAGACCCACCACTGATCTTGGGAGGCAACAAAAATGCAGAAAGTATATGATTTTTCAAAGAAGTAAGCAAAGTATACTAGTCCAACTTACCGTAATCCGTGTGAGCTCCACTGAATTAGCCACATAATGCATGGACAGAGAAGAAAAGCAGAGTGAGATGTATCCATCCAAGTGAGCAAAATTTGTGCAGAACATATCAGAAAACATCAATGGTTTATTTATTTGTTTTTACTTACCATCCAGTATTAGTGCGTTGCTCCTGTGAAATACTAGCTGGGACTGGATACCCAATCAGCCTGAGATACCAGAAGGGATCTCCCGCTGTTCCGCCTTCAAAAGCATCCGACGGCGCACCTAGTGCCAAAGCTATACCTCGCATGATCTTCCTTGAAAGATCTGCAAAGGACAAAATGGCATGATAAGCATCACTAGTAATGACCACAATCACAAAAGAGCAATTGGAGTAGTTAACATGGAGTTGAGTGGGGAATTTCCCCCCTCACCCACTTTGACCAATCAAAAAAGGAAGGGAGCTGAGTGGTAACCTCGAAGAAGCCTTGCATAGTTATCTAGGAGTACTTTAAAATTTGATGGGCAATCGGGCCTGCGTGGAAGAGGAAAATAATCAATTCTTTAAATGCAAGTACTCCGATTCATATAATTGTACTAGATGAGCAACAATTAATATGAATCGGTTGGAGCACCACAAAACTACTACCTCCTCTGATCCATACAAATGTAGGCCTTTAGGACACGCTTCCATCTCCGAAATGATACTTTTACCATATAATTTCGGTTAAAACATGTTGTTTCACATGAAAATACATCTTATAAAGGTAGTATATTTCTTGATAAATCTAGTAATAAGAACTTGAGATTTTGACTCAAATCAAATTCCTGATGCATGAGACAAGCAGGAACTAAACCCTTTCCTCAAGAAATGCTAAAAACTTGAGTGGTGCTCTGGATTAGAGATGGGGAAACATACCACAAATTATCTCCTTCCAAATGCTTGCCGAGATCTCCATACTTGCCCGGTTCGATATGCGCGTAGCACTGCCATGTGTTGTTTGTTGTGATAGTTTATCAGTTGACAAGTCTGAATAACTTAACTGAACAAGCATGACAAGAACGAAGACCCAAACATGGGGGGATATAGTGTTGCACACTACTTAGCGAACTTTGGACGTGGTGGGGATAGCAGCCCTTGCTAGTCGCTAAAGATTGTAACCATAAAAGAGCTCGGAACGAGAGTTTTTACAGTACCCTGGTACTCTTGGGGAGAGGAGGGAATGCCGGATAAATCCAACCATCCATCTACAGGGGTATTTTAGAACTATTGTCTTATTCGTTTTGACTTTTATTCCAACCGAATCAACCGCATCAGGCCGCAGTGATCACACTGTTTGTTCCTCCATCCTGTAGCGGCTGGAGACTTCGTCTTGTAGCCATCCGTGAATTCCTGTTAATTGCAGATTAATTGAACTATGGCGCTGTAGGAGGATTGCGCTCCTCCTCATACATCCATGATGCGCCAGTATCCCACGGCGGAGACGCGGAGTCATCCCCCGACCAATTCGCGTAGGCGCAACTACCGGCGGCGGCCGTTTATGCACATCACGGGTGCATAACCTGGATTGTGAACTGATGTGGCCTAATTGTAATCCCCTCAGTGGTGATGACCATGTGATCATCATGCCCCGCCATGCATGATCATCATCTCGATTTTGAGATTTTTCTTTTTGCGAATGATATTGATTTGGGATTAGGGTTCATGACAAATTTTTGTTTGAAGTCTGCGTTCACACCCTTACAAGCAAGTTGGTACTAAATTGGAATCTCATTTTATTTAGTATTTCTGTAATAAATTGATATATGATTGAGAAATAAATAAATCACCCATGATTACGGTATTACCCCTAACATCAAGGTACTCCATCTTTTTTGAGATAGTACTCCCTAGGATCTGCGTTGGAGTACCATGTAAGATTAGCCGTCAGATTAAGATCAATGGATGGCTCACATTCATTTAGGGGTACGGAATAAAATCCCTATTCATTTCCGTGGGAAAAGAAAAGAAGGAAGACTCCAACATGGTGTGGGGCAGCTGAACTTACATCGATTGCTTCATGCATATCAAGCTTGCCCTTGGTGATGTTTTGGCCCACTCTCTGGTACCCTCTGACCACGAGCCGTTTTACAGAAGTTCACTTCAACACCCACCAAACCATAAAGGAAACAAGACAACCTGGAAATGCTTAAGCAGCCACACACACCTGTATCCAGTCCGGGGTGTGAGTCTGATCTTGCGTTTCTCCTCGAGCGGGAGCTGGAAGAAGCTGCGCGTGACGTCCCTGACCTCCGCCATCAACGACTCCGCTATCCCGTGGCCTTTCTGTCAGTAACAACGTATACACAGCACACGCAGCCACAGCATTTCAATTTGGTTAGCTTTGACAAAGTGCACATTGTTACGTACTCACGACAGTGGGTTACCACGTAGAAGAAGCCGGCGTCCTTGCAGGCGCGGTCGAGCTCACGGATGACGTCCAGCAGGTCCCCGTCGTCGGCCATGCCCGGATGGTCGACCTTCTCCACGAGCGCGCTGATGTCTGAACAATGCATGCGGAGTGTAGATGAGCGATTACCGATTGATTGATTGACTGGTAGCGTAGCTAGGTACGTACCGACGAGCGGGATGGCCTTGAAGTCGGAACCCATGCTAACGCTGCCGGTGATGCTGGCGGGCGGGCGGCGGCGGCGGCGAGGGCAGAATGGCTCTTGAAACTTTTGGGTTAAGTAGGCAGTGACATGTGAGGTGGTGGCAGTGAGTCATCCGCGATCCAATCATTCATACGATTCATACGATACGGTACGTTGTGATGCGATGCGATACGGCGCACCCACCTGACGTGACACTAGTGTAAAAAACGTTCTTATATTACGGGACAAAGGGAGTAGTAGACTGTAATGTAGCGCCGCGGCTGCAGTTCGCCACTTCACACCTGATGGTCGACGCGGCTCCGCGTGCGACCTGCTCCGCGGTAATGTACGGTCGACGCGGCTCCGCGTGCGACCTGCTGTGCTTAGCTCCTGTTGTAGTACTGTACACGCGTGGTTGGTAATTCAAATCAGATCGGGGGACGTGGCTCCAGTCTGGAAAGATTCCTCGAATGGCTTACCCCCATGTGTACCCAATCCCCCAAGTCATTTAGCATCTGCAACCTCGCTGATCTAATTGTACATAATTGGAGGGGTAACTTTGAATGTGCACTTCTTCGGTACAACCCCTAAACACATCGACGCATGAGATTTCTTGATACTCTTTCATAACAAAGGGTAGGATTGTCTTTTTTTTATAATACATCCCAAACATATAAGGCGTTGAAGACACCCTTTGACTGGGCCGGCCCATTGATAAAGGCTGCAGGGAGCGTGATGTGAGATGTAAAAATTCACAAAATAGATGCCTATGCGGAGGATTGAACCGCAGACCTCTTACACGTTAAGTTGAGTCGCTCACCAAAGGGACGATTAGTGTTTGTGAACAATTAGGAGTGTGCAAACTTAAGAAGCCTCCGGCTGGATTTATTGGGACACTACTATAAAAAGGCCTACTAATGGCGCACTACCGGTGCGCCATTAGTACCACGCCATTAGAATTTTTTACTAATGACGCACCTGTGGTGCGCCATTAGTATCTGGTATACTAATGGCGCACCGCTGGTGCGCCATTAGAATAGCCCACAGTGCGTCATTAGTATCTTGTTGATATATCTAGCATATCAATCCTATTATACCTTGTTGATGTCTAGGACTTTGTTCATGTTCATGACTATGATGAAATTTTGAAAAATATTTCAAACTTTTCGGTCATATTACGTATCATTTTTTGAAAAAAAATAAAAAAAATTCAAAACTAATTTTTTTTTCTGTTACTAGTGGCGCACCACATCCACGGTGCGCCACTAGTAAGTTTGAAATTTTTTAAATTTTTTTGCCTCTAGATCTTGAAAGCCCCGTAACTTTTTTTCTGTTAGGTTTTTGGGGGTTTTGAAAATGTTTAACGGGGTTTCCCCGGTTAAATTTGGATGTAACTTTTCGAGTAGATGATTTTTCATATAAAAAACTTTTTCATCCGAGTTCGTATGCAAAAGTTATGCCCACTTTACAAATTTCCAGACAGATTTTGCAAATAAAGTCAAAATTCATATTTGTAAATTTTCCCAACAACTAGACCACATATCACATGGGAAACTTATTTTCTTTTTTCTTTTTTTTTGACATTTTCATCATTTTCGTTTATTTTTTTAACTGAAAAGGCGATCTAGGGGGGGCATTTGGTGTTGGGGCAAGTTAGTAATGGCGCACCGTGGGGTGGTGCGCCATTACTAGTTAAAACTAGTAATGGCGCACCGAGACATGGTGCGCCATTAGTAACAAATATATTTTTTTTACTTTTTTTCAAAACTACTAATGGCACACGGCGGATGTGGTGTGCCATTACTATGTCAACTACTAATGGCGCACGGTGGACATGGTGCGCCATTAGTAACAAATTTTTTTTATGTTTTTTTACAAAATTACTAATGGCGCACCACACACCAGGTGCGCCATTAATAATATATTAGTAATGACGCACCGAGACATGGTGCGCCATAGAATATAGTAATGGCGCACCACATGACAGGTACGTCATTAGTGACCATTCCATCTATAGCCCTTTTTGTAGTAGTGGGCCCATGAGCCAAGACGGGAAGACCACGAAAAACACACAGAAGAAATTGGAAATAAATCTCAGCTAATCGCCGCTATTAATTAGGCCTATTAACTAACCTATGCATGCAAGGGCTACTGCCTGATCTAATCAAGGAGACCCATGCGCTAGCTTTCATGAAGAGACAAGGGAATAAAGTGACATGTTTAAATGCAGCATCCCAATTATTATTTTTTATAAACTATGCGGCAGCCTAGTAAACATGGTACTCCTTCCGTTTTTATTTACTCTGTATATTAGAGTTGACTGAAATCAAACTTCGTAAACTTTGGCCAAATTTATAGAAAAATACAAACATTTACTCTGCATATTAGGTTTGAACGATTCTAACACCTTATGCAAGTTGCGTGATGTCTGGTCATTTATCGGTCATTTTCGCCAAGAAAATTCCAGAAAATGCAAGAATTGTCGAAAACCCAAACAATTTGGGATGGTGCCTTGAATTGGTCATAAAAGCTCATGGAAATTTTTGGGGTCATTTGAAGATACCAAATAAAGTACTCTCATACGGACCCCATGTGGCCTACCCGAACACCCTTCATTGAACATGATATATTTTTAGACATGCATGTAATGACCCTCAGCTTTTTCCAGCAGGTAGGCATGCCCATTGCATGCAATCATGCCAGGTTTGAACGATTTCCGACACCATACACAAGTTGCGTCACGTTCGGCCATTTGTCGTCCATTTTTCATCGAGAAAACTCCATAAATTGCAAAAAAAAATTCAAAAATTCAAACAACTTGGCATGGTGCCTTGAATTGGTTATATAAACTCATGGAATTTTTTGGGTCATTTCACGATGCCAATAAAAATGAGCTCTCATACGGACCCATCTCGCCTACCCGAACAACCCCCGTTGAACATGGTATTTTTTGGACATGCATGAAATGATCCAACTATTGCCGGGCATGCCCATGGTTTGAACGAATTTTGACACTATATGCAAGTTGCGTCACGCCCGAGCATGTATCAGCCATTTTTCATCAAGAAAACTCAAGAAAAAGGCAAGAATTGTTAAAACCTCAAACAACTTGGCATGGTGCCTTGAATTGGCCATTTAAGCTTATGGGGAAATATTGTAGTCATTTGAAGATATCGACAAAAACATGCTCTCATATGGCCCCTTCTTGACTACCCGAGCACCTCTGTTGAACATGGTCTATTTTTGCACATGGATGAAGTGACCCCAACTTTTACAAGCAGGTGGGCATGCTCATGGTAGGCATTCATGACAGGTTTGAATTATTTTCGACACCATATGCAAGTTGTGTCACATCCGGTCATTTATCGCCCTTTTTTATTAAGGAAAATCCAGAAATTACAAAATTTGTAGAAAACCAAAACAACTTGGCATGGTGGCTTGAATTGGCCATACAAGTCAATGTAAACAAATTAAAGTCATTTCACGGATGTTGAGAAACAACGTGCTCTCAGCGGAGCCTTTTCGCCTATCTGGAAACCATAGGTTGAACATGGTATTTTTTGGACATTCAAAAAAGGGCATCAACTTTGGTTAACGGGTGGGCGAGCACATGGTGAATATGTGAACACTTTTTCAAGTTTGCTAGCATTTTTTTTCATATTTGCGAATATTTTTTGAAAACTTTTATTTATTTTCTAGGGCCTAAGCATTTTTTTCTTCTCTAATTTTTCATTATTATTCTCTTTTTCGTTAATTAATTTTCTCCTTCTGGAACATTATTATTCTTTTTGAAACCTGTTCAACAATTTGAAATTTTCTTTTGAATACCATATTTTTTTTCAATACAAAGTTAAAAAAATGATCTTGAATTTTACAAAATATCCCTGTACTCTCATATGGACATGCATGAAATGACCTAACTTTTGCCAGCAGGTGGGCATGCTCATGGTAGTCATCCATGTCAGATTTGAACAATTTCTGACATCATATGCAAGTTGTGTCACGTCAGGTATTGTTCACCCAGTAAACTCCAGAAAATGCAAAAAATATCGAAAACTCAAATAACTTGGCATGGTTCCTTGAATTGGTCATATAAGCTCACGAAAAAATTCAGGTTATTTGACGATGCCAAAAAAACATGCTCTCATACAGACCCTTATGACTTTTTCATTGCTTTCATGTTTCCTTTTTCATTTCTTGTTTTCTTTTCATATTTATTTACCTTTTTCACAAATATTTCTGATTTCAATGTCTTTCTGGAAAGTTCAAAATTGATTCATGATTTCAAAACGTTGTTTAGCATTTTAAAAACTGTTTGTTAATTGTTTTTATAAATTAAAAAATGTACAGGATTTTCAACAATGTTATTTTTTTTCTAGAAATTGTTCTGAATGTTAAAATTCTTGCCGTTTACATTTTTTTCTCAAAACTCTAATAATGTTCATGTTTTCCCGTAATGTTTGGAACTTTCAAAAAATGTTCGGGTTTTTTAATAATTGTTTGCGGTTTCCCAAAATGATTGAAATTTTTCTAGAAAATTAAAAAATGCTCATGTTTTCATATTTTTCGTAAATTCTAAAAATATACGAGAATTTCAGAAAAGGTTATTGTTTTTTGAAAACTGTTCAGAATGTTAAAAATGTTCCTATTTTCAATTTTTTTCCTCAAAACTCAAAAAATGTTTGGGAATTACTTATAGTGTTCACGTTTTTAAAACTTGTTCAGAATTTCCAAAATGTTCCCATTAACATATTTTGTTCTCTAAGTTTAAAAAAATGTCCGCGTTTCTTCATAAAATATTTAGGATTAAAAAAAACTGGTTTCTGTCAAAAAAGGCAATGTTTTAATTTTTTTATTATTCAAAGTTTGTTAGAGTTGTTGAAACAATTGCTTTTCAAACATTACTCGCTTTAAAAAAATATTGACAATTACCAAGAAAAGATTAAAAAAATCCATAAACTTCCCGGATTCTGCGTTGTAGTTAGTTCTTAAAGTGGTACGCTCTTTAATAGCCACTA